TTTGTTATTTTTTACTGGTTTTTTTCTCTTTAAAATAAAAAAAAAGTAAAACAAGAATCAGTGCTATTTCTCTAAACAGCCAGAAGTAAGTCACTTAAAATTGTTAATTTATATTAATTGTACCAGTTAATGGGGATCACATTGATAGTTCCATACATGCATACATCATTTATTCATCATGACCTTTTACTCTTCCTCTGTCTTCAACACCCCCACCCCCACCCCCTTTAAACCTAATTTTAGGTGAGGTATTTGATAAATTTGAGGTGACTTTCAAAGAAACAGGTCACACATGCAAGTTAATAATATCAAATTAGAGATCTGGAATGTCATCAGGTCTACTGATAAAAGGTTTTGAAGTCATTTGTATAGAAAGTTACATATCATTAGGCATGGTGGCACATGCCTGTAATTCCAGCACTCAGGAGGCTGAGGCAGGAGGATTGCCCTGAATTTGAGTTAGAGGGCAGGCAGGACTATATAGTGAGACCCTATCTCAAAAAACCAAAACAAAACAAGTTGGATTTTAAGTATAAGAAATATGCAAAGGAGAATAAAGGGAGAAGAGCAAACACTAAACATTGATCTTTAAGGAATTAAGACAGACAACAAGACTAAGAAGAGCTTTAATGAAGGAGACTGAGAAATAATAGATTGTAAATTGGGCTTTATATTTGCTGTATATTCTTGTTGACCCACTCCGGGAGGCCTAAAGGAGATTATTGTGGGTGAGGTCCCAGGTTAAAGAATGTACATGTGCAAGACATCAGCAACAACAGTAGACAGCATGAAGCAGAGCAGAGCACAAGAGCCATCTGCATCTTTGCTGCATAATATTTGTACCTGTTGTTAGCTGTGTACATTCTTGTATAGTGCTGTAACCTGCGCATGTGTCTTTACCTGTCCTAAGTCATGGTTATATAACTGTATACCACTCTGCACCTTTGCTACACAGCTGGGTCATGTCCTCAGACACCCCTGAGCTTTGAAACGGTCTGAGTAGTTCTCCACATCCCACCCCCTCTAAGGTTAAGGGGTATATAAATGTAACATTTTACATGTAACAGGGCACAAGTACTTCCTCTTGTAATAGTTCACAAATCAAGAACCATGTAGTTTTGCAAAACAACCTTTTTTAATCTGGGAAGTTTTATTCATAAGCAACATCAAAGCTTGGCACATTTAAGGCCTGGTCTATATATTGAGCAAAGGCTTCAACCCAAAGGGTTAAGTCTGTGGTCTCTGCCCCTGGTCAGACACTGTTTGTAGCCGCATCCTATACATAACACGCTATTCCTAGCAGTTTATTCCTAGCATCCTATACATAACACGCTATTCCTAGCATATGCAGCACTCAATTTTCCTGGTCAGATGCTATTCCTAACAGCCAGCCATTGTAAAGCCTGGTCAAGGCATCTGCTAAGTCATTTCCTGGTATGAGGAGGGGCTTTTTGGCTTCATTCCCATAAGTCATGACATAGGTAGGCGCTGTACAAGGGACAGTGCCCTATCTGTTACTCCTGAGCTTACTACCCAAGCCAGCAACCAGAGTGTCAGCCCCCTAAAGATGGCCCAACTGTCTGTGCATACATATAGGGGGTCTTCTTCATGAGAATCACAAGTAATCACACCGCTCACAATTCTGCCCATTGGCTTGACCTGCCTGTTTTGGTTCCAAACCAGAGTACTTCCATACTGGGCTGGACGGCAACTGCTGTCCAGTGCTGTGTGGGTCATGGCTAGACTCATTAGTGCAGCCAGTTGTAGCAGGAGGTCCCTCTTTTCCTTCTGCATAGGGACTAGGGGTTAAGTCCTGTAGTTGTTCCTCCCAGCTGGATTCCTGTACCATGTTCATCACAGGTCCCAAAACTGTTGCCAGTTCAGCTGCCAACAGGTTAGCTAAGAAAGTGTCCCACTTTGGGAAGTATGTCCCCCAACACGTGAGAATGGGGGCCTGTGCCACTTCACTCCTAGGGTGTGTTGTCCGCTTCCTTCCCCAACCCTGTATCTGGTCCTGTGATGCTTTCACAGGCATGAAGAACAGCATACATTGCTGCCAGCTGTTTCTTAATCGGGGAATATTGTCTCTCAGCTCCCTTCCACAGCTGTGACCAAAACCCACCATGGCTTGGGCCCCAGCAAAATCTGTCATCATCCATACTGAGGTTAGGATAGATGGCAGCTTAGGGTCAGTGATTTGTAGGGCTTGCACATGTGCAACAACCCTCTTTGAGTCCTGAAAAACAGCTCCCACTGCATCTATGCAGTGCCATGTAGCACCCTTCCAGATCATCCAGTACAAAAGGTGCAGCAGTGTAGCTAGTTGTGGTTTGTCTGCCAGAAACCTAGCAAGCCCACATACACCTGCTACTGGTGTATTGTGAGTCTGGGGTATGTTTGGATCTTACCAGTAACAGTATCAGGAATTACTTGGGTTTTACTGATGGAGACCACTACAAAGCAGCCCTGAGCAGGACTTAAATTAACCAATAAGCTTTTCATGTTTACTTGTGATCAGTTATCAGATCTAGATAGGTTGTCAATTTAGTGACTTGCTCTGGCAGATCACCTGGATTCTCTCAAACCGACTAAGCCACTGCCATTAACCAGTTTATCACAGTTTGATTACCTGCTTGTGTAGACACCTTTGAGGAAAACAGTGCTTCCCATGCCTCAGAATATGAGCTCCATAGCAGCTACCCATTGCTCAAGGTCCTGCACTATCTGCCACAGTTGGTCTACTTGCAGGACAGGCCATCCACCTGTTTATTTATGTGGTGGAAGAGTGAAGAACAGCCAGGCTACCTGCCCCACTGTTTCACAGTAACAGGGAGGAATTTCTGTATCACTTCCAAGTCTTACAAGACATCCTGGGCACCAAACGGACTGTTTCCAAGTCCTTCAGGGCTTTTCAGGCTGCCAAGAAGGTGGACTACCAGGTAACCATGGTGAGGCCAGGGTTTGGTTATCAGCCATTCCCTGGGGCTTTCTGTCACCTCTGGCTCTGTTTCCATAGCTGCCTAGGGACCAGTCACCTGAACATCTTGCTGACTGCTCCAGTTGTTGGCCCAGGGAGAGTCCAGGGAGGGTCCCAGGGAGATTTTCACGGGTGAGCAGGTAGTGTGGAATAGAGCAGAGTACAAGAGCTGCCTGCATCTTTATTGTATAATTTTTATACAGGTTGTTATCACCTATTTACATTCTTGTGTAGTGCCATAACCAGTGCATGTGTGTTTACCTGTGCTAGGTCACGGTTATATAACTGTATCCTACTCTGTGCCTGTGTTAGACAGCTGGGTCATGTCCTCAGGTGTCCTCAGATGCCCTTGAGCTTTGAAGCAGTCTGAATGGTTCCCCACAGTTCTCCATACTGTTTATAGTTTTATGTAGAGTCCTAATGGAATTGTCGATGTAGAATTGACCGAGAGATTCCTGTTTGTAGGAGCAGTCTTTTTCTGTGCCATGTTGGAGCCAGTCTTCGTTGACTTGTAAAAGTCAAAAGATTGCAGGCCAGTTCAGTAAAACGTAGTATTAAAAAAATTTTATGAGCTTTAAATTCCTGATATTAAAATAAGTCATAAGTACTCAGAATTCATCAATTTGTAATTGATATTATCCTCCCAACCACCCAGGGATTGAACAGAGAACCTTTGCAGTGAGCTAAATCCTTAGCCCTTTTTATTTTTCAAACAGGGTTTTGATACATCTCTAAGTTGCACAGGCTAGGCTTGACTTTGAGCTTCTTGTGCTTCAACCTCTGAGAATGCTGGGATTACTGTGCCACTATACCTGTCTTATATCAGTTTATCTTAAGGTTATTTATGTCTGTTGTGCACATATGGTGAAGTTGTACTTAAATAGTAAACTGATGTTCATCAGTTCCAAACTTTGGGTTTTGTGATACCACTTGGTTGTTGGAAATTGGCTAGGGTGGAAGTGCTTACACCATGAGAATCAGCAAATGCTATGAAGTATGACTTGATTTATTGTTTTGCTCATTATAGATGTCTCCTTTCTCCTTTCCCTTTGCCCCTCTTCTCCTTCCCCTTCTCCCTCCCTCTTCTTTTCCCCACTCCCCTTCCCTTCCCCTCTCTTTTTTTTCTTTTTTGAAACAGAATCTCTCTGTCCAGGTCAGCCTTGAATTCAGTGATTTCCTGCCTCATCCTCCCAAGTACTGGGGTTACACCCATGTACTACCATGCCTGGCAATTGTCTGTACATTTAAGGAAGCGATAAATCATTTATAACAAGGATTAAACTTTGAAGTGTGTTAGGTATATTATGAATATCTCAAAATTGAGGAAATATTCTTCTAACTTTAAGAACTGTTATCTGATTGAACAGTGATGTTGCTCACAGCATTGGCTAAGGAGTGAAATTCCAATAGTTGTGCTTTTTACCTACATCTTATTCGTTAAAGTGAAAAACAAATCAGCCATCTTTAATGTCAGAATTCCCGCTGCTTCATCATTTGCAAACCATAGGTCAGATACAGATGTAAGAGTTTGAAAGCATTATCAAAATCATCCTAAGAGTTAGATCACTGTGGAATTTACAGTAGAGTTTCATATATTGTTTATAAATTGTATGCTATGTATCCTTTAAATCTATAATATTTATGATATTGTATTTGCATGTAGTTTTTTAAGAGCTATTTGACCAGTTACTAAGACAAAACTGACTTCAATGATTTTTAGAAAATTCTTGCCGTCTTCCTCTTTTTATACTAAAGAATTAACCTTTTGCAGTTGTATTTTGCATTTACATATTGTACAGCAGCTCCTATTTCAACAATAATTTCCTACTCTTTATTTGGGGGATTCACATCAGTGTTATATGATACTAGGAAGGGAAAGTAACATTTTTGTTTCACTGAAGAGTTTTTTCTGAAAGAAATATTTAATCACTTCCAGCAGTATGCCAAGAGGTAAGGAACATAGTTGAACAGAACTGCATTGTATTTATTCATTTGTTCACTAAAATGATATGACATTTTCTAGGGATTCAACTAATGAAACTACTGCCCATTCTGATGCTGGCAGCGAACTTGAAGAAACAGAGGTGAAAGGAAAAAGAAAAAGGGGTCGTCCTGGCCGGCCTCCAGTATGTATTACACTTGTCTTCTTTGTTATTTTAACAGTTACCACATAAGTAGGCTTGATATAAGCTATTTTTTCATTCTTTTAAAAAAATGTCAGTGATGCATTAGAGACTCTTGGAAACTTTATAAATTAGCTTAGCAGTGATCAGAAAAAAGGATTATTATAGTGTAATTTTTTTCTCCATCCTTGGTGATCCATGTAAAGGCACAGAAGAAGTTATAACATTAAATGAAGTATTGTTAACCAAGACATTCTGCTTTTTACATGTAACTGACTTCCTGTGAGTGTCTTAAGTATGCATTTTGGCAGTACTAGTTTGGAGATTGGGGCCAGTCTCAGAATATATTCTTACTAATATATAAGTGAGAATTTTAGAAGAGTGCTGGGTAACCCTGTATTGAACAGTCTTTACATGCTGTAAAAGTTACAGTTATCGTTTATGCATACATAAGCTTTTAGAGATAGCTATAAAATGTGTCAGGACTGAGGCATATATTCTACTTTCACTTAATGAAGTGATTTGCTGTTATGAGACATAGTGTAACAAGCCATTCCCTCATCCAGTTTAAATAGTTACCAAGTATGGCCAATGGCCATTCTTGTTTCATCTCTTCACCTCTCTGTTCTTTCTCCTGTTATTTTTAAGATCATTTTGACATTATTTCATATTTTAACTATTTCAGTATGTGTTGCTATTGTTAGACAAAACCTTTTTCTTCTATTGTCACATCACAGTAATCAATTCAGAAGATTCTCGTGACTTCAAAGATGGCATTTGTTTCCACTAGCAAGCAAGCAGTCAATTTTGTAGTTGTGGACATTGGCTGTATGTCCTATAATCCAGTACAGTTTTGACAGATGGTGTTAGATACTACAGGTTGAAGTTCGCAAGATTTTATCCTTTAGAAGTTGATCGTAAGCCCCACGTTGTTCTGCCTATACTTCTGACCTATTGTGTATAAATTGGTGTTTTTACAATCTGCTCCTCGGGTGTTTGTAGTATTGAGGATTGAACCTAGGATCTTTCACTGAGCTACATCTCTAGTCCTTTTAACTGGAGACAGGGTCTCACTAAGCTGCCCAGGAGGCTGGTGTTGAACTACTGATCCTCCTGTCTTTACCCCCAAAGAATGCTGGATTACAGGCATCTACCACCACCCCAGTCTTCCACTCAGGTTCAGTTAATTAGCTTGACCAGAACAACACAGGAGAACACTTAACCTTTATCAGTTTATATTAAAAGATAGGAGAGAAGGGACATGGAGCCTCAGTACCTACTCAGTGATAGCCTTCAGGGACCTTTGCATGTTCAGTTATTCACATTGTGGGACCTATGTTGTTTTGGGGCTTTATGGAAACTTCATTGTGTATATAATGCTAATAGACTGGGTATGGAAATCATGCAAAACCTGTTTCAGCATTCTTCTTGGCCTCTTTGTGCAGCACTCCTCTCTCTGGCACAGGGCATGATACTCTATAATGAGGAGAGGGTCTTATGACTTACTATTGGTCATTAGTAGGTTTGATAATTACTTTGTGGCCAACTCCAAGACAGGAAGTTAGGAGAAGTTGAGTGTCTAGCACCCAACTTAAAGAAGAAAAATTCTACTTTCTATGCCTTGAGGGCATAATTATGAGCCAGGAACAAATAAATAAAAGTTACATATCATATTATAATTGTTGAAAAAAAAATGACTTTCTTTTAAAGCATAGCTGCAATATCAGTGTACCTAAAGATAGTAGTATTTTATTAACATCACCAAATAAGCTCTTTTACAATTAATAATCATTTCATAAATGTTCTAATTTTTGAAATACATTTTGGTGGTTAGAATTATGGTTCAGATTCAACCCACCTGTTGCAGTTTATGGGTGGGTGAGGCGGAGAGGAGAGAGTGTTTTGTTGTGAATTAGTCAACAGGACTATTTTTGATATAGTTGTTTAATCATTATTTGTTTCTGTTTGTCAGAATTTTTAATTGCTTACTTTTCTAGGCAGTGTTCAAAAAAAAGGAAGGAAAACTTTGTCCATTTCACCTATATACTTGCTGTTGTCATGCACACTTAAAGGAAAAATTGGGGAAAGACATGTACTGCAATCAGTTTTTAACAATACTTCATTTGTGTTCCTTACACAGACATTTTTGGGATAAGTGAAAGAGTCCTGTACTTAAAATCTGGAGACTATTCTGGTTCCTTCTTCTACTATGTGATTTTTCTGAGGCTATAGGGAGCTTATATTGCTTTGTCTGAACATAATGGGTTATAGCTACAAAATTGAAAATAAACGATAGAAGGTATGAGAATTAACTGCCCACATGATTCCTTGAATTTGTTCTTTCAATTAAAATTCTTCCCATACAAGATTTGGATTGTTTGTGTTGTTAAAGAAAGCCTTATTTTTTTCTTAAAGGGAATTTATCACCCCTTCAGCAGGATATGTCATTGTTCCTTAGAACCTGTCTTAATTTTTATGTGTGTATAGCTGAATCCCTGAAAGGGAATTTATTTTTTTTCTTAAAGGGAATTTATCACCCCTTCAGCAGGATATGTCATTGTTCCTTAGAACCTGTCTTAATTTTTATGTGTGTATAGCTGAATCCCTGAAACATGCTTTTCTTGAGGAAAAGGAGTTTGTATACCCAAATGCTCAGCTCCTTTAGGGTAGGAGATATTTGATTTTCAGTGAAATTGCTGTTACATAATCTAGTGATAGTACATTTAGCTTTTTTGTATACATGTGTGGTACGAAATTGATTTGATTTTAAGTAAAATTGTTACTATGTATTTTAAGTAAATAGAATTGGAAAAAATTTCAGCAAGATGAAATAATAGCCATCTACATTTGTATTATATGTTAGTCCATATACTTGTGCTCATTAGTTCACAAGGCTGTCTGTACTTCCACATAATTCAGTCTTGTTTGTTTTGTAGTTGTGGGCGCAGCACATGCTCCTGAGTTTCTCCTTTGGGCTTTGCATTGGGCTGGTGATTTTTATGTCACTTAATTATCATATTGATGCCATGAAGTAGATCTTCTATGCTGCTTACAGAGTAGAAAACAAAGTTTAAAAGTGGAATTTTAGCCAGGTATTGTGGTGCATGCCTCTAATCTAGCACTCTGGGAGGCTGAGATAGGAGAATCTTAAGTTCTGTATCAGCCTCAGCAGTAAAGGGGTGTAGTAAGACTGTCTAAAATTTTTTTAAAAATAATTTAAATAGCCTGGTTTGTAGCTCAGTGCAGAGGCTGTAATTTCAACCCCCCCAGCATAAAAAAAAAATAAATAATAAAACAAAAGTAGAATTTTATCTCAAGTCAAACAGTAAGTGAGAGGCAAGGCTAGGATTTGATTTCATGTCCCAACTTCTATATTCTTTAAGAAGGCTAGAATACCAGACTGGTAATTAATATTGAGAAAAGTGATTATCTTAATGATAATGTTTGTGTTGAGGACCCTGGTACTTCTCAAAAATAAGTAAGAGATTTTCTGTCAACAAGTTCCAATTCCAAATTGTGATTGATACACTTTGTTTAGGTATCTTAAAACTATTACTTTTTTTAGTGTATCACCTTTATCCTTATTTCTGTTTTTGTTTTTCTTTTTTATTTCAAATTTTTTAAACTGACATATAATTGTATATATTTAAGGGGTACAGTGTGATATATCCAAACATGTATACAATGTGTAATGATCAAATTGGGGCACACCAGTTACTCTTGATTGTCAGAGTGACTGGATTAAGAGACTTCTGGAGAGATGATTGGATTTTGAAGTCACTAATACCATCAGTGGGTCCTGTTGATGAGTTCATAGATGAATGAGCAGTTATGAGGTAGGACCTCACTGGAGGAAATAGGTCACATTAGTGTTACTTTGAGGACTATATTTGGTCCCTAGCATTTTTGGTTTTTGTTTCCCATCTTCCATGAAGTGAGAAGCTTCCCTCTACAATGCCTTTCTGCCATAATTCAGCCTTGGAGCCCGCTGACTATAGACTGAAACTGTAAAGCCATAAGCCAAAACAAATCTTTGCTCTTTTAAGTCAAGAGTATCAGATATTTTGCCCATCAATAGAGAGGTGACTAACAGAGCAATAATACATCCATTCACACTAAACGTTTTATCTTTCTTTGTGAGGAAAACATTTACAGTTCTCTTTTCAAGCTATTATGAAATTCACAATGAATTATTGTTAATGGGTCATTTTATGGTGCTATAGAACACTAAAAGTTATTCTTCCTATTTATTGTAACCATAATTATGTACCTGTAAATAATTTTCTTCATATTCTGTCCTCTGCTCTACGCTTCCTAACTTCAGGAAATCACTCTTCCTCTGTACTTCTATGAGGTCAATAGTTTAAGTTTTCACATGTCTTTCTGTTCTAATTATTTCACTTGCCATAATATCCTGCAGATTTGTCTGTGTTGTTACAAATGACAGGATTTCATTCTTTTTTATGGTTCAGTAATAGTCTATTATGTATAAATAATCATATTTTCTTTACACATTTCTTTTGTCAGTGGATGCTTAGGTTCATTCTGCATCTTGGCTATTAAGGGTAAGTCTCCATTTAAAAAGGCGGAACAGATACCTCTTCCAGATACTGATTTCTTCTTTGCATATATACCTAGTAGAGGGATTGCTGGATCAAATGGCAATTCTATTTTCAATTTTCAAAGAAATCTCCATACTCTTTTCCATATAGCTGTACTAATTTATATTCCCAATAGCAGTGTGTGAGAGTTACCCTTCCTCTGTGTCCTCATTGGTATGCTTTATAATTTTGATAATAGCCATTCTCAATAGTGGAAGATGGTATCTTATTTGATTTGCATTTCTCTGATGATTAGTCATGCTAAGTATTTTTCATATACCTGTTGGTTATTGTATATGTCCTTTTGAGAAATATTTGTTCAAATATTTGCCCAATTTAAAATTTGATTATTTTGAGTTTCTTATATATTCTGCATATAATCTAGTGAATAGTTTGCAAATA